TAGGGGTCTGGGTCTTGCAAGTCCCTCTTGCAGGTCTTGTAGGGCGCCGTACCTCCCTTCCAATCAGGGGAATAGGGGGCCTAGGACCATCAGGGGTACCTGAGTAGCTGCCTCCACCCCTGCATGCACAGATAGTGCGTTCCTGGTCGAATTTGACCTGTTCCTTTTCCTTTTTACTTTCCAAGTCCTCCTGTACTCTTTCTAGGCCTAATGTTGCCTCCTCCTCCCATACTTACGGTTTCACTTACCCCGAAAGACCGCTGAGCCTCGGCCTGTATCTTTTCCTTTCGTGCCCCACATTGGCGCCAGATGTTGGGTCTTCGTCCATCTTTGGGCGGATGGGGTCTGAGGAAAGGTAAGTGTGAAGTGCGGTCGCTGGCTCATTCCCCAGCCTCCCTTAGCCCCGGAGACAATCAGATGCAGCGGGGAGTCAAGTCAAGCAGGAACTCGTTTATTAACAGGGAGCATCCCCTTTTTAAAGCAAAAGACTGCATGGGAGAGGAGGAAATGGAACCAACCAATCACTGAAAGGCCACACCTTATCATGCACCTAAGCTTCCATGAGTTGTTTACACACTGAACCTAAGCAAATCCGGCTCTACCCACTCAACTTCCTCTCAGGGCCATCTTTGCTACCTGTGTTCCCCACAGATTTCCCCACACAGCTCGAGTTGGTACTTCAGGGCTTGAATTATCCCAGTCCATGCTCTCCCTGCATTGAGAGTTTGTGTGGAGAGATCTGCAGTGATTCTGATTATCTTTCCATTGTAATGTATCTCCTTCTCTGATTTATTGGCATTTAAAATCAGTTCCTTGGGCTGGGAAGGTGGCTCAGTGGCTCAAGTGGTAGAGCACTAGCCTTGAGTTGAAGAGCTGACGGACAGTGCCCAGGCCCAGAGTTCAGGCCCCACGACCGGAAAAAGAAAAAAAAGATCCTTGCTTATTGAGTCTAATCCTTTTTTACTTGGATGTCTAAAAGGGTTTCTTCTCTCTACTAGGGATCCTTTCCACTAGGGGTTCTGTGTGTTTCTCTCAGGTGGATGGGATTTTCTCTCCAGATTGAGGAACTTCTTTTCTTTTTCTTTCTTTTCTTTTCTCTTTTTTTTTGGTTGGTCATGGGGCTTGAACTCTAGATCTGAGCGCTGTCCCTCAGCTCTTCACCTCAAGGCTAGCGCTTTACCTCTTGAGCCACAGCTCCATTTCCAGTTTCCTGAGTGGTTTATTGGAGATAAGAGTCTCACAAACTTTCTTGCCAGGCTGGCTTTAAACTGTGATTCTCAGAGCTGAGACTCCTGAGTAGCTAGGATTACAGTTGTGAGCCACCAGCACTTGGCTCTTACAATCTTTCATTGTGATTTATGCATCTGGGCTCAGGGATTGCCAGAGCTGTGTTGTGAACTTGGCATGCTAGCATTTGACAGGTGGTGGCCCATGCATGGCCTGGGCTGCCCCCCCCCCTGGGTGAACTAGCCCACACTGGGTCCCCCAGCCACCAAGCACTTGCAGAAATATGCTGGCCTTGTCCCAGGCCAGTGAGCTCTCCGCTGCCATGTGAGCACCCGGTCCAGTCTTGGGGAGGAAGAGGATGGAGGGTGGGATTCAGGCCTCTGGGTTGGGCATGGAGCTTTTGGGAGGAGTAGGCTTCCAAAGCAGCACGGGAGTTTGTGTTAACTTCAAACCGGTAAGTTTGGTGCTGCCAATAGTCAGTGCTGTGGATGACCCAGGGTCTTAGTGCCTTTCACTGTGAGTCCTGGTGGTCTTCCACTGTAAGCCAACAGGTGGCAGGGGGCGGAGGAAGGTGGAGAGCTCTGGCCTCTCTGTATTCTTCAAGTGTGGTATCCCTTCTTGGGTGGGAGAGAAGGGTCCAAGCCTAATCTCAGGGTTGCCACTAGCAGTGGTCTTCCATGGGGAAAGGGTCCCCGGCAAGGTACTTAGTGATCTGGAGGTGGTTGTGGGCTGATGGCAGTGATATGAAAGTTCTCTGGTTCTGGACGTCCCAGTCACACATTGCTGGTCTGTGTCACCTGGCCAGGTGCCAGGTCTGGGGAAGTTTTCTGTGTCTGGATGCTGCAGTCTCACTGCTTAGGTCCTGGGGTCCCAGTCAGCCATGGTGCTACTCTTGTGGCCTAGCAGCCTTGTTGGCACTGAATGAGGGGTTAGGGGAAGGTGCTTTGTGGTTTTCCAACCTTGTAGCATACCAGTTGTGAGCGATTTTTCCTTTCTGTTCCTGTTTCTCTATTTGTATACACATTTTTTTTGGGGGGGTCCGGTCGTGGGGCCTGAACTCTGGGCCTGGGCGCCGTCCCTCAGCTCTTCAGCTCAAGGCTAGCGCTCTACCACTTGAGCCACAGCGCCACTTCCGGCTCTTTTCTTTTGCTTATGTGGTGCTGAGGAATCGAACCCAGGGCCTTGAGCATGCAAGGCAAGCGCTCTACCACTGAGACACCTTCCCAGCCCTGTATACACATTTTTTTGTTCTCAATCTTGTGGGGAAAAGTATACGTTACGACCCTAAATCTCTGGATATAGACAGCTAGGGTTTTTCCCTATCACTTCTCTGCCATATTGGCTCCAAGGAGGTACTTTTCAAAAGTATGCCTTAAATTTCAGTTAAGGCCGGTACTGGTGTTTAACATGTTTTCTTCTCAGGAAGTTGGGGTTTGAGAACCATGGTTCCTGAGCAGACAATCTGAATCTTTTCTCTCAACCAGCAAGAACTAGTAGTGGAGGTGTGACTCAAGAGGAAGGGCACCAGCCTTGAGCAAAATAGCTAAGGGATAACATCCAGGCACTCACAAACTCTCCTGCCTGGGTTGGTTTCAAACCACAGCCCTCAGATCTCAGCCTCCTGAGTAACTCTGATGACAGACGTGAGCCACCAGCACCCAAAAATTGTTCTAGTTATTATTAGAAATATCTATAAATTGTATTTTTATGTAGTATGTTGAATGCTGCTTCATAGGAAACATTAGATATGCAACCACACATATTTCAATATAGAAATATGTGCTGGGTGCTGGTTTTACCACTTGTGTGGCATTGCTGTTTTACTACATTGTACCCTCAGTGTGGACAGCACTGGGACAGAGTTTAGAAGTTCCTAAAGCTGTGTCAGGTGTGATTTCAAATGAACATTCTAGATCCTCAACCTTTATAGAGCCTGTGTCATTGCTTTCTGTCAGGAAGAATTAGACAAAAATGAAGGAAAATTTATCTAAATAAAAATCAGGAATCGTTCAGTACTTTTTTAAAGAAGGTATTTTATTTACTTACACAGGAATACATTCTGAATAGAGAAGTAGCAAAATTAAATAGCAGCAGTTCTATCTAATCATCCTTGAGAAAATGCTATTCTGTTTTGTGTTCTTGAGGTTTGAACTCAGAGTCTGGCACCTGCTAGGGAAGTGCTTGACACTGAGCTACCCCAAAATTTTCATTCAAGATCTGATGAAATTCCCCACACTAGAAACCGTTTTCTTTTTCATCTCAAGAAGCAAGTAAATTCACCTTATTGGAAAACGGGTCAGCAGTCTTTGCTACACGACAGCCATGGTCATTTAGTGCAGAGGCCGCCATTCTCCTACATCACTTCTGTCACATCTCCAGTCTCCAGTAGCCTAGTGCTCACTTTTCCCACGAACACCGTGCTGTGCTGTTCTCTCTGGCCCTTGTAGTTCAGTCAGTGCGGTGCATTCTTCTAAAGAGCAGTATCAGGGTGAAGGACACACAATGATGGGCGACATCATGCCCCAGCTCCACACCATTCCCACCCCTCTGCTGTGCACAGCCTTTCATCGATTTCAGTAGGAAGATTCACCTTTCCCTGAGTGTGCATAGAAATAATCCTCACAAGATGGTGGGACCAGCCTTTCAAAAGCCCCACACAGGAAAACCTGCAAGGTGGGCATTTCATCAGCAGAGCTCAGCCCTAAAGGCCCAAAGCCCAGAATCATCAGACTTGGTGAACTTGATTCTGGATGGCCCTGCCTCCTTTGCAAATATCTCATTGTATTCTCGGCTTGGAATTCTTTTGCTGATAGATAGGGAAGAGTCCACAGTGAACAAGAGAGCAGATGGATCCCCTGGTCGTCACACAAATAGGTAAGTGTGCTCAGCCTGTATGGGTTCCTCAAAGAAATCTGATGTCCACTGAGTGAGGCTTGCATTTGAGCCTCTGCTGTGTACATATCACAATTTCCTGTGTTCTGCTCTTGGTGGAAGCATTTTGTTGTTGCTGTTGATTGTGGGGATTGATCTTGGATCCTTGAGCTTTTCTGCTCAAGGCTAGTGCTCTATTGCTTGATCAGCAGCGCCACTTCCGGTTTTCTGGTGGTTAATTAGAGATGAGTCTCACAGATTTTCCTGGCCTGGGTTGGCTTTGAACCGTGATCCTCAGATCTCAGCCTCCTGAGTAGGTTGAATTACAGGCATGAGCCACTGGCACATGGCTGTGACAGCAATTCTTATAAACTATTAACAAAAGAGTCATGATTCTGGGTGTCAGTGGCTTCACGCCTGTAATCCTAGCTACTGAAGAGTCTGAGATCCGAGGATAGAGGTTCAAAGCCAACCCAGAAAGTGTATGAGACATCTCCAATAAACCACTCAGAAGACCAGAAGTGGTACTGTGGCTCAAGTAGTAGAACGCTCACCTTGAGCTGAGACAGCACCCAGACCCAAATTCAAGTCCCAAAACCACCACCACCAGCAACAAAAAAGTCATGATCATGATATACAGCTCAGGCTGCCCTGAAACTCACTATCTACTGGAATTACAGCAGGAAGCACTGCACTTGAAAGCAGGCCTGAACCCCTTGGGAGCAATTTCATGTCACCCTCATGCTTACATTCAGTGGGGACTGAGCCCTGAAGGCCATTCCTAGATGGATAGCGCCCTGTTACACTCCCTGGCAGGCCTTCTTTTGTGAGTGAAACCTATGATGGATAGTCAAGGTGGAATTTCAGCTGGATATCTTGCTACATTTATCACACACATCCCATTATCCACATTCTGCCTCTCCTTGGTGTGTCTTGAGGTGGCGCACAAGGTGCTTGTTCTGTCTGAATACCTTCCCACACTCAGTGCACTGGTAGGGCTTCAAGTCCATGTGGATGGTGCGGTGGACTGTGAGGTTGGAGTGGGAAGCAAAGGCTTTGCCACAGTCTGGACACACGTATGGCTTCTCCCCAGTGTGCGTCCTGCGGTGGCGCACGAGCGTTGCTTTCTGCGTGAATGTTTTGCCACACTGGGTGCAGCAGTATGGCCTCGCCCCAGTGTGTACCACCTGGTGCTTAGTGAGGTCCTTGCGACTGGTGAACGCCTTTCCACACGTGTCACATACAAATGGCCTCTCCCCGGTGTGTGTCCTGCGATGTATGACAAGGCTGGAGGACTGACGGTACGCCTTCCCACACACAGAGCACCTGTAAGGCTTCTGGTCGCTGTGCACTGTCTGGTGTTTGGTCAGCTCACCACGCGTGCAGAAGGCCTTGGCACACAAGCCACACACATATGGCCTCTCCACAGTATGTGTCCTCTTGTGGCACACGAGGCCAGATTTCTGTAGGAATGCCTTCCCGCACGTGGCACAGCAATACGGCCTTGCCCCAGCATGTGTCCTCCAATGCATGGTGAGGCTGGAGTCCTGGCTGAACGACTTGCCACACTCTCGGCACTTGTAAGGCTTTTCCTGAATACGTGCTTTGGGTGTACGTGTGCGTAAGGGAGAACATATCGGAACATCATCACAAGCATGGGCAATGTGAGTGTTCCCACTGGAGGGGCTTCCCTGAGGGCAGGACATGGGGGCCCCTGCGAGGGTGGACTTCTCCAGCTCAGTCCTCACCCCTGGCCCTTCACACAGGTACGGTGGGAGCCTGCACAGGTGCTTCTGGAGGGGCCGTCCCAGCCACGGGCTTGTGGGCTGCTTCCCCGCATGACACCCACCCTCCTGCACTCCTCTGCCACTGCCCTCTTTGTGGACCATAAGCACCTCTTTAGCAAGGCCTTGAGCACCACTCCACTCCCACTCATGTGGAGCCTTCTGGATTTCCTCGCAGGAAAACTCAACAGTGCCTCCGTCCTCATAACTTTGGGCTATTTTTCCCCTACAGCTGCCGGCATGAGGTAGTAATTCTTTAATTATATATTTAGGAGAGGTACCTGGAAGATATAAAGTTCCATTCTGATTACTCACATAGTTAAGTATTTCATGCTAAAGGAGAGAATGCTATAGAAAATAATTACACAGGCACAGAGAAGCCATGTGAACTCTGAGCACAGAAAATCCAATATGTAGGAACTCAAAAGGATTAGGATTAGCTGGGCTCTGGTGGCTCATGCCTCTAATCCTAACTACTCAGGAGTCTGAGATCTAAGGATCACTGTTCCAAGCCAGCCCAAGCAGAACACTCCCTGAGACTCTTATCTCCAATAAACCATTAGAAAACCAAAAGTGGTGCTGTGGCTCAAGTGATAGAGCGCTCGCCTTGAGCTGAAAAGTTCAGGGAAAGCCCCATGCCCAGAGTTCAAACCCCACCACCAACAAAAAAAAAAGGGTGGGGGGTGAAGATGGCTCATTTGTAGAGTGCTTGCCTTGTATGCATGAAGCCCTGAGTTCCTCAGCACCACATAAGCAGAAAAAGCTGGAAGTGGCGCTGAGGGTCAAGTGATAGAGCACTAGCCTTGAGCTGAAGAGCTAAGGGACAGCACCCAGGACAAACTTCAGGCCCCAGAACCAAAAAAAAATACTGGGGCTGGAAGGTGGCTCAGTGGTAGAGTGCTTGCCTTGCTTGCATGAAGCCCTGCTTGCATTCCTCAGTACTACATAAGAAGAAAAAGCCAAAAGTGGTGCTGTGTCTCAAGTGTTAGAGTACTAGCCTTGAGCTGAAGAGCTCAAGGACAGCCACCAGGCCCAGAATTCAGCCCCACAACCAATCAAAGAAAAAAATTATAGCTGGGCATTGGCAGCCCACACCTGTAATCCTAGTTACTCAGGAGGCTGAAATGTGAGGATCAGGGTTCAAAGCCAGCCTGGGCAGGAAAGTACGTGAGACTCTTATTTCTAATATTTCACCAGAAAACTGGAAGTGGCCCTGTGGCTAAAGTGGTAGAGTGCTGGCCTTGAGCTGCAGAGCTTAACGACATCAACCAGGCCAAGTTCAAGCCCCACGACCAAAACAAACAAAAACATCTGTTTTTAAAAAGGCACAAAATATAAGAAGTGGAATGTTCAGCCATAGCTCTAGGGGGTGCATATGAAGGAAATGAAGTCAGAGAATAAAAGAGACACTTGGTTACTGCACACCCACAATTAGCTGGAGAGCCAGCCTAGAGCATGTCAATGGACACAGGAAATGCAGTGGGGACACAGAATGGCATATTACTCTGCAGGACAGGGCACAAGTGGGGACATTCTAAAGTCCTTTAGGGCTCACAGCAGAGACACTTTGGTTTTCCACAGAAAACTTCCACTCAGGGGCTAGAAAGGTGGCTCAGTGGTAGAGCTCTTGCCTTGCATGCATGAGGCCCTGGGTTCGATCCCTCAGCACCACATAAGCAAAAAGAAAAAAGTCGAAGTGGCGCTGTGGCTCAAGTGGTAGAGTGCTAGCCTAGAGCTGAAGAGCTGAGGAACAGCGCCCAGGCCCAGAGTTCAGACCCCACAACCGGACCCCCCCCCCAAAAAAGAAAACTTCCACTCATGCCCAAGTTCCCCAGCTCCAACTCTGCACATCTGAGCTCTTACCTGTGTTCTCACCTTTGGCGCCTTCCCAACCACTCGGCTCTCCTGGAGTTTTCACATGGTTCTGTCCTACCCAGGGCTCTTCCTCGAGCTCCAATGGCAAAATCACACTCACGTTGGGAGGAGAGACTCCTGTTTATAGAAAGACAATGTGCTGTGGCCTTTCCAGAATCCCTAGTTCCACACTCATGGGAAAAGGGAACATCACACATGGATGCAAAATACAGTTCACACATTCAGCAGACTGCCTCCATCTGAACACTTCAGAGTACACTTTAATGTGCAGACCACACACAACAACTACTGAGTCAGAAGAACTAATAAATGGATATAAAGTCTGCCGTGCGCTGAGTATGTGGGATCTGTGTATAATCCCAGCACTTAGAGGATCAGTGGCAAGTTCAAGCACAGCCAGGGCTACCAAGAGGGAACTTTTCTCAAAAAAAAAATTATGAGGAATAGGGGAGGAGGGGAAGAAAGGAAGGACTGCCATAGTGCTTGATATGTAGCTCAGTGATAATTGGACCTGCCTAGCAGGTACAAAGATCTAGAGAGGGAAGGGAAAGGAAAATGAGAAGAGTGGAGAAAAGAAGGTGAAGGGAAAAAAGGAACAAAGAACAGTAGACAAGCCTGCAAAAGCTAACATGCACAGGTGCTCACTTAAGCTGTGGGACACAGGATGCAGGACAAAAGAAGGTTATTAAAGTCCGGAGGCCACGTTAGCCTGTTTCTGTCCCTGAGTTGGTGGAGCTTTAGGTCTAGTCAAGGAACATGGGGCTCTCCAGGCAGCACTCAGGGGAAACCAAGGCCAAGAGTAATATTCCCGACTTGTGCAAGGAAGGGAGGTGTGCTCACCCACGGAGACCAGGTTCCTGTAGGTGTCCAGCATGACATCCCTGTACAGAGTGCGCTGAGCCGGGGTCAGGCATCGCCACTCCTTCCAGGTGAAATCCACCGCCACATCCTCAAATGTCAACTGTCCACAAGGAGAAAATCCAAAAGCATTTCATACACATCCATGGACTCAGAAAAAGTATTACGTGGAATTATAATCAATGCCTACCATGACAAAGCATCAACACACCAGGGAAACTTCAGGATTTTACAATTTGTAAAAGTTCTTTGATTTGACACCCAAAGCAAAAAAAAAAAAAAATGACATGGAATTGTACATCCCAGCATTCTTCAGAGTTAGTGGGGAAGTATGATGAACACGCCTAGAATCCTAACCAGTCCAGGAGCCCGAGATCTTAGGATCAGGGTTCAAAGCCAACCGGAACAGAAAAGTTCATGAGCCTCTTGCCTCCAATGAACTACCAAAAAGGCCAGAAGTGGAGCTGTGACTCAAGTGGTAGAACAGCAGCCTTGGGCAAAAGAGCTCAGGACAGCACCCAGGCCCTGAATTCAAGATGCAGGACTGGGTGCTTGGTGAGGAGGGGGACCAAAAGCTGAAAAGAAAACCAACAGAGAGGTTTCAGCAAGCACACAGAAACACTTGGTGGGTGATGCTCTTCTGTGCCCACACCCAGTGGAGGGGTCAGGGCTGAGGGAAGGCATGGGGGACATGAGCACACATGGCAGGCAGACAAGCACCAGCACAGTCAGAGCCCAGGCCAGCTCTGTGCACAGGAAGGAGACACCACACAGCTTTACCTGAGTCAGAGCCGCCATCCCTGCTCCTTGTCTTTCCTCTTCCTCCTCAGGTAATACCACTTTCCAGAAGTCAGTCTTGAGTGCTGAAAATATCCCGTTTAGTGCTCACACCCAACATGCACTCCTTGTGTTCCAGCCCTAGCCCAGGGAGGACCTCACCGTGGGGAAGATGGTCCTGTTCTGCCGACTCATGGGGTGATGGGGAATGCTGATCCTGGGAATGGAACTCAGGAACTGGGCCCTGTGCCTGAGCTTGTTTACTCAAGGCTGGTGCTCTACCACTTGAGCCACAGCTCCACTCTTGCTTTTTGGCGGTTAATTAAAGCTAAGATTCTCCTGGAGGGGTTGAAGCAGCACAGCTCCTGAGCAAAAAAAACACATCAGATACCAAGTTTGAGTCCCAGTCTATAATCAAAAAACAACAAATGTATGGGACTTTCCTGTCCAGGCTGACTTCAAACCTCCATCCACATATCTCAGCCTCCTGAGTGGCTAGGCTTACAACCATGGGCCCTGCTCCTCTCCTTGTAACCCATGACCCCTCTTTTCCATGGACCAAATAAATGCCATTGCACACTGCAAATCTTTCTCCTCTCCTTCTATTCAGAAGTGCTCCCACATTTCCTGCACCGCACCACCTATGTGATGTCTTGGATCCTAGAGATGGAGATTCTGAACTCTCTTTGCTTTCCTCTCTGCTGTTCCCTTTGTGGCTTTTGCTCCTTCCACGGATTCTTTGCAAAGCCTTCAGTGCACTCTCTACTTTGCCACCAGCTGTGGGAGCTCGCTCTCCTTTGCCTGTTTTCCCGATTTCTTGTCATTCTTTTCTCCTGATGATCTTTTGCCCTTCCCACAGCCCCAGGTACAGGTCCCAGGTATAAGGAGGCAGGCCCCAGGTTGCCCCTTCCCCACCTCGAGGCTGGCCTGGGGTAGGCTGAGGAAGGGCCAGCGCAAGGGAGGGTGGGCCGGGTCTCAGGACCACAGAGATCAGCGATGGGGGAGCTTGGCCAGGGACTGAGCCAGGCCCGCTGGGACCGGGGCCGGGCTGGGATGGGGACCAGGTCGGGGCCCGATGTGGGGGTGGAGCCGACGGTCGGGGCCGCGGCGGGGGTCGCCGCGTTGGCAAGGCTGGGAATTGGGGCCAGGCCGGGGGTTGAGGAAGGGACAGTGCAGGTGCAGGGAGTTCGCGGATGGTACGGGGATGGAATTCGGGGCTGGAGGGCCGCGGCTGGGACCGGGAGTCGGGACCTTTGTCCGGACGTCTTGGCCTGGGGCCCGGAGGCCTGGGTCTGGGGCCGGAGCGGGTCCCAGAACCCCGGCCGGGGACCGAATGTCTAGCCATGGGGCCGAGGATAGGGGTCGAACAGGAGCTGAGAGGAGCTGGGACCGCGCCCACCCAGCCCTCGCCCTGCGGGCGCGCAGGGTGGCGGGGACGCCGTGGTCCGGGCGCCACGGTCGCGCCAGGGCCGGCGGTCAGCGAGGACTGGCCGGCGACCCAGGCCGCTGGGCAGGAGGGCCGCGCGGGGCCTCCGGGACCCCACCCCGTCGTGGGGGCTGCGGACACCGGGACGCAGACTTACTCTTGCCAGAGGGATTGTGTGAACTCCCTGTCAAGCCAGCAGCTTTCTGGTCTGAGGGAAGCTGCGCGCGCAGCGAGCCAGGCGGGCTTGGAGGGCGTGGCAAGCAGGGCGGGGCAATCGGGGTGAGGCTAGGAAGGGCCAATGGAAAAGTGGGAATAGGTGCCGCCAGAAGGAAACCCAATCCACTGGACCAGTGCTGGGAGGGGTGGGGGAGGGGAAGGCGGGGCGATAACAAGACTGGTCTGGGCCAGAGAGCGAGTGGGCGGGGCCTATCTGGAGACTCCAGGCCTCTGAAGAAGCTACTAAGGCAGGGGCTGGGTGCCTAGCCTGGCCGGGTGCTGGGTGCAGAGGCCGGGGGCTGAGTCAAGAGTACTGAGGTGGCCGGTTGCTGGGGTGCGGAGTCAGGGTACTGAGGCGGCTAGAGGCTGGGGGCAGAGTCAGGGTGCTGAAGAGAGAAGAGTTGATGGGAGAGAGGAGATAAGCTGAAGGAGGGAGAAAAGAAAGGGAAAGAGAAGCAGATGGGGAGGAGAGCAGAAGGGAGAGGCGCGAGGGATAGACGAGATGATAGAGGTAAGATCAAAGGGAGAAGAATAGAGAGGGAAGAAGAGAGAAGAGAGGAAGAGGACCAGAAAGGGTGTGAGAGGAGAGCTGCTACAGGGGAGAGGAGAAAGAAGGAAAGAGGAGACAGAAGAGACAAGAGGGGAGAGGAGGAAGAGTAAAGAGAGCAAAGGAGAAGAGAGGACAGAAGGTGGCAGCAGAGAGAGAGAACAGAGGTGACAGAGCAGGACAGAGAGGAGAGGAGCCAGGAGAGAGGGAAGAGAAAAGGGAGAGAGGAGGGAGCAGAGAGAGTGGGGAGGAAAAGGGAATGGAAGGAATAAGAACAGAAGGGAGAGAAAAAGCAGAGCAGGTCCATACGCATCTGCGGGACACAGGCCCAGTGGGGTTCTGAGATTAGAGGTGAATGTGAACAATTCCTTCATGCACAGAATGCATGGGCCTAGAAGGGACCATGTCTCATAAGGAAATCCAAGCGCAGAGATAGGGTGCACATCTAGTCTATGTGGAAGTTAGATCAACAGTACAAGTGGACATGGTAAATTACACAGGATGCTAGACATCATCCACACACCCCAACTCAGACTAAAGGAGGATCCCCTTAGGGGAGGAAATCAATGGTGTAGCTTGTTTATTTTTTGGTTGGTCATGGGGCTTAAACTCTGATCCTGGGCACCACTTTTGGTTTTCTGGTGGTTTATTGGACATAAAGAGTCCCAGACTTTCCTGCTTGGGCTTGGGCACTGGCCCTTAGCTCTTCAGCTCAAGGCTAGGGCACTATGGCCTGAGCCACAGCACCACTTCCAGTGGTTTATTGGAGATAACTCTCATGGTCTTTCCTGCCCGGGCTGGCTTTGAACTGTGATCCTCAGATCTCAGCCTCCTGAGTAGCTAGGATTACAGGCGTGAGGCCACCAGTGCCTGGCTTGGACCGACTTTCAACTGCAATCATATCCCAGCCTGCTTGAGTAGCTAACATTATAGGGATAAACCACTGGTGCCCATCTTTCTCTGGACATTTAAATTGATATTTATCAAAATGAATTCCAAAGGGCTGGGAAGGTGGCTCAGTGGTTGAGTGCTTGCCTCACATGCAAGTCCTGGGTTTGATTGCTCAGGACCACATAAGCAGAAAAGGCCAGAAGTGGTGCTGTAGCTCTAGTGGTAGAGCACTAGCCTTTGAGCTGAAGAGCTGAGGGGACAGCGCCCAGGCCAATTTCATGCCCCCTGATGGACAAAAAAAACATGGAGAGACAATCACTTTATGCAACAGGGTTACTGTAGCATATACAATGAGAGCCCCAAGGCTGGGAAGGTGGCTTAGTGGTAGAGCGCTTGCCTTGCATGCATGAGGCCCTGGGTTCGATTCCTCAGCACCACATAAGCAAAAAGAAAAAAGCCGGAAGTG